TGTAAATGCGTTTTGCACCATATTCACTGCAGCAACTGTAGCAAAAATGTAAGCATACGAGTTTCTTAATTTGTGATTTGTAGAATAGGATTTGTGCACCTGCAATGAAGATGTAGGTGTAACTGTTGTGTTGTGTTTGTGGAAGATAAAAAAAAGTCGACAAGTTTGCAACTCTTAAAACTCTCTGTGACTTCAAATTTACTGATACACATGTGTGGCTATTCTCTACAACTACAAATTCCACTGTCACAGGTGTTCAGTTGTTTTGCACCAAAAATATCTCCATACTCTAAAGCCAGCTGCTTTGCCTTCCTTTCTGGCTTGTTCGATTCTTGGCCATAATTCACGTCTCAAAAGTCTATCTTCCTTCGTCAGGTCCTTCGTCTTCTCCCCACACGAACTCTGGTAAAACTTACTTATTTTATGAATTAGAGAAATCTAATACATTGGCGAGCCACCCAAATGACCGCTCTGCCAAATACAGCAAAATCTAACATTTTGCATTCATTACGATTATAATAGTCAATTTTGAATAGATTGCTAAAACAGGAGCATTCTGAGTGTTAAAAAAAAAAAAAAAATCTTTGTAGAGTAAATGCAGCGATCTTACCGAATGAATGTATAAGAATGTAAAAGGCTGTACTTAGTGTTAAAAAGTGAAGAAAAAATAATAAAAATAAATGATATATATACTGTATATAAATAAATAAATAAAATAAATAAAAGGGGAAAAAATATGATTTTTGTGAATTGCAAAAACACATTTTCACAGTCAGTTTTGCTCATATTTACCATGCGTGCCAGTGTTTGTATAGCCCACTGTAAGTGATCATAAGATATGTGGTAAAAGTGGACTCATAAAAGCCTGCTCATTCTCTCTTTCAGCCAAAATAACAAATATTATACACTCTTCTCTCATTTCTGGTATTGTCCCTTCATCTTTAAAATCAGCTGCAATTACTCCTATACTGAAGAAACCTGGTGCTGACCCAAACAATTTCAATAACCTACGTCCCATATCTAATCTACCATTTCTCGCTAAAATACTCGAAAAAACAGTTGCATCACAGGTCCATGCATACCTGTCTGACAATAACCTTTATGAACAATTGCAATCCGGTTTTCGACCATGCCATAGTACAGAAACAGATATGATAAAAATCACCAATGATCTTCTTGTTGCAGTCGACTCCGGACTATTAACTATTCTTATCTTTCTTGATCTGAGTGCGGCCTTTGACACCATTTCACATAACATCATGATTGACAGATTAGTCTCTATTGGTTTTACTGATACACCCTTGGAATGGTTTAGATCATATCTCTATGGCCGCACTCAGTTCGTTCAGCTTAAACAGTTCAAATCAGACGTATCCCCTGTCATTACTGGTGTTCCCCAGGGCTCTGTCCTGGGGCCCCTTTTGTTTATTATCTATCTACTTCCTCTTGGTCATATATTTCGTAAATTTAATATTCACTTTCATTGTTATGCGGATGACACTCAACTCTATATGTCTACTAAGCCTACCACATCACTTCCACCCTCTTCCCTTACAGATTGTTTAATAGAAATTAAAACTTGGTTTTCTTGTAATTTCCTTAAACTTAATAGTGACAAAACTGAGGTACTCTTAATTGGCAGAAAATCCATTTTGAATAAATAAGATAGTTTTTCTCTTAACATTGATAATTCCAGTTTTCCCTTCTCCTCAGGTCAGGAGTTTGGGTGTGATCCTCGATAGCACTCTCTTTTCAAACTCATATTAATAAATGTCACTCGATCTGCATATTTTCATTTACGTAGCATTAACCGTATCCGACCGTCTCTCTCACCTACTAGTGCAGCCATTCTCGTTCATACACTGGTTACATCCCGTATTGATTATTGTAATTCTCTTCTAGTTGGTCTTCCTCTTAAATCTATACATAAACTTCAATTGGTTCAGAACGCTGCTGCTCGTATCATCACCAGATCCCCTTATATTAATCATATTACTCCGGTCCTTCATCAGCTTCATTGGTTCCCGGTAAAATATCGAATTGATTTTAAGATTCTGTTTTTGACCTTTAAGGTCATTCATAACCTTGCTCCACGGTACCTTGCTGACCTTCTTCATATTTACAAACCGACCCGTACTCTTAGGTCTTCTTCTTCTGTTCTCCTTACTGTACCTCCTGCTCGTTTGACCACCATGGGTTTCAGAGCCTTTAGTCGTTCAGCTCTCAGACTCTGGAACTCTCTTCCATCTGGTATCCGTGATAGTGAATCGCTTTCCATCTTTAAATCTCAGCTTAAAGGGGGGGTGAAACACTCAGTTTCAGTCAATCTCATGTAAATCTTGAGTACCTATAGAGTAATATTGCATCCATCATATCTCCAAAAAGTCTTTAGTTTTATTATATTTATAAAAGAAAGATAGGCTGTACCGAGTCTTTCCGGAAAAAGCAGAGCAGGTGGAGGCGTGCCGTGTGGGCAGAGCTAAATCACGAGTGCGCGAAGCTTTTACGTTGAGAGCGTCTGGAAGCTGTGACATCCTAAAACAAACAATGGCTAACAATCAAATTCAATTCAATATGCTCCATAGATACATTAACTATACGTTATCGTGTTGTTTAGCCTACTTGATGTGCTTAAGTTACACGCCGATAGACACGCACAGATATTTGAAGCAGTTCTACTCACCGCCTGCGGTTCCAATGCAAGACCGTTAACCTTTAGTGTTGGGACTGCTCCATCCTTGAGAACTAAACGATTAGCAAATCCGGCTTCGAACTGGGCCTTGTTTATAAAAAAAATCATCCTCGAAATGCATGGAACAAACAAGAACACTTGCACAACTGTGTTGATGTTCTGGAAAAACAAACTCCATCCACTGGTCCCTTAACGCTTGATTCTTTGGGAATCTGTGCAGTGTTGTCTTGCCTTGGCAACCGAAAACACACTTCTTTGGTGACATATTGCAGCGCAGCCGATGCACAGCGCTTTGATGGGCATAGGTTACGGCTATCGCTCTACAGCTGCGCGCGCGCCCTTCCGAGAGAAGTGCCCTTAGGACCGTATAAGGAAATTCCGGCGCATCTGACGTCATACGCGCCCATACTCGAAAAAAACTTTCCGAAACTTGTGACAACCAGGAAGGAGTATTTTGAGAACAGAAATACTCAATCAAACGTACAACTTAATTTTTGAAACTTTGTCCATGTTTAGCATGGGAATCCAACTCTTTAACAGTGTAAAAAACTCACTATGCATGAAATAGCATTTCACCCCCCCTTTAAGACACATCTTTTTAAATTGGCTTATTCCTTGTGATCTTTCCTTCTCAATTTTTGCTAGTTGTTTTTGTACACTGATTTTATAAGAAGTAACTATAGTTGTAACTTTTCATATTTATTGCTGTAAATGTTTAATCATGTTTTGTGAGGTGACCTTGAGTGTCCAGAAAGGCGCCTATATAAATAAAATTGATTATTATTATTATTCATGTTTAACATTTACATTTAGATGAAGGGTTCCTTTCAATAGGTCAATTTAAAATGTGTGTGAAATTATAATTTGTAGCTCAAAAAGTCCATAAGTAATTATCAATAGACCCTTTTTAGATTTCTTTCTTTCTATAATATGTTTGTATTTCTAACCTTCAAAATGGTGTATTTGTGTGAACTTTTGTGTTTAAATTAAACAATTAATATAAAATGAATATGCAATGTTTTGTAGACATGAAACAACAACTAAGTAAACACTTCAATAAATATTTACCAGATTAAATGTTTACAAAGCTTTTGTTTTATTTTTGTACACTGATAACACATAAAATTGCTTTCTGGTCTACAAAACCAAACAGATGTTGATTGGCACACTATGTCTGCATGTTATTTTAGCCTGCAAATTTTTTTAAATCTTATATTTGTACTAATTATAATATAGTAATACTATGATGCAAAAGTACTACAAAGATCACATAATTTAGTAATTAATTCTAATTAATTAGTAAATAATTAGTTCTGAAGTGTCCTGTTATATGAAAGTGTGATGTCTGTATGATTACTATACTTGCAGTTTAGCCTGCAAACAAAAAGTTGAAAACTAAAGTGACATTTCAGAGAAGAAGAAGAAGAAGAAAAAAAAGATGCGACCATGCCACTGTTCACACTGGATATGACAAAGTATCGTTTGATTAAAAAAACCCCAATTTTTAGAAGAAACTGCTGATAAAGATAAACAAATATATTTTGTATTATAGTTTTACATATCTTTCTTATTTGCAATAACTCAGGAAGGCAATAAGGTAAGAGGAAAATTCTTTTTTAGTGAAGTTCCCCTACACGTGAGCTGCATCTGTATGCAATTTTGTGGTGATAGCATTAAGTAATCAAAAGTTACAGCATTTGTTTAGACCTTGACACCCCACTAATAGGTATTTTTAAAATTGTTCCTCCATGAGGAATATCTTGTGATCGACGCAATGGATTATGTTGATCAACTCATGGGCTCATTTTAATTGACTAATTTTTATCGTGATAATCTGCTGTAATTAATGATGTGCCATTGTCCACGGTCGGAGCATGTTTCATGAAGTTACGAGCGAAAACGTGACATAAATGCCGCATCCGTATATTATTTACATGTGGGTCTTGCGAGGCTTCACGTAAAAAACTCGCTCAAGTTTAGTCAAAGCCCACTCTTCTACTCCGTGAGACTTTTAAAATGACATGACACATGACTATCTGAGCTGTATGATGTTTTTGACGCATTACATAATACAAAAAAGTATTTCACAAATGATGATTTTCATTTATTTATCTGCAAATAACACTACTTAGAAGTTAATCAAATTGGCAACATTCATTGTAAAGTTCAGACTCCAGGCTTTCAAATCACTCCTATTTTGACACTTCGGTATTAAAAGGTTAATTTGCAAATTGTTTAAAGGAAAACATTGTGAATGTGGAATAATTTTTTTTTTTTTTTTAAATCAGTTAAAAAAATAAAAGCACACCTCATCTCAACCTGCTTGCGTTTCTGCAGCTCCTGATTCCTGAGCTCCTCCAAGCGTCGCAGTTCCTCCTGACGTCTCATGAGATCTGTTGGTATAAGTCCACAAATATTTACAATGACAAAGTTAAGAATATTAGTAGTAAACGAGAAACGAGACAACACACTGGTTGTGGGAGATCACAGTCATTGTGTACTCATGTATGTTGTCCTCATTACAATTTATAGATGCCTTTTCAAGAAAAAAAAAACCTTATTATATCGAAATATTTAAAGGGACAATGTGTAGGAATTTCTCCCATCTAGTGGTGAAATTGTATTTTGTATTCAAACGAATAGTGCTCTACAGCGCCTCGCTTTTTCAAATGCGTGTTGCTTCTACGGTAGCCGTTATGTACCAAAAAGCTATAACAGGATGTCTTCTAATAGCACTTCATCGAGTTTTCCTTCGGGTGAACAGGTTTGTTATTTCAAACAAACTGCAACTTGACAACGAACAAACGGATATTTGATAGAATTGAAAGTTTCCTAAGGCAGAGAAGTGACAAGCAATGAAAAAAAGCTTGTAATTTAGACCGTAACATTGACTTACCTGTTGAGAAGAAAGCAGGCAAGTTCAGTGTCTATTTTGAATGAAAGCTTTCTCCTGCATCAACTCTTTCCACCTGTAAAAAGCTATCCTGACATTAAACCTTGTTTTTTTGCAAATTCCAGTCTTGTGGCTCCACATAAGTATGGTCCTCCATTATAAATAATGTGCAGTGCAGCCTTTTAAACTTGCCGTGGCAGTGACAGGCGTCTCTCAAATCTTTTTGTCCGGTTCAGCTGCTTTTAGTCACGTGACGCTGGCTCTGAACGAAAACGAGTTGTGGAAATGCGTTGGCATAGTACTTTTTGTCCCTCTCTGCTATTATAGTTTATCAAGATGGCGGAACGACATGGAAGCCTCTGTGGACCTACCCGTCCCATGTATATAAAGATAATAAATTCTTCGTTTATGAGGATAAGTCAGATCATTGGCAGAGGTATTTATACACCATTGAGGACATATTTATGAATAAAAATATTGATTTTAGATAATAAAATATTTAAAAAACTACACATTGTCCCTTTAACCCTCTGGGGACCAAGGTGTTTTTGGGGCCCTTGGGATGTTTTGACATGCACTGACATTTGTGCTTTTTTCAGTTATTTATAAACATGTTAATGGCAAAGGTGTAAATTCACTCTATATAGCACAAACGGGGCTACCATAATATGTGAGCAACATGTATGTACATGTTTGTATTTTTAAGAGAATAATGTTTATGCGTGGTTATTGAAAAAACTAAAAATTAAAGTTTCTGAAATAAAGCAACAAAACAATACTAAATATGTGTCCACAAGACTTTTGACTAATGGAAGTTGTGGCCTAGAGATTTTGCTTCAAAATGATCTGAAAATCATCCTGCCTAATTATTAACATAACACAAGATTCTTTTAAATTGTGAAAAACATTTTTTGTTAGCCAAGGCAATATGTGAATGGGCGTGAACGGCCCAACCCCATTGTGAATAATTAGGTGGTTCTCACCTGAGAAGACAAAGACCCGCATAATAATGAGCCTTTCATTCAGGTGTGTCACACAAAAAAGAATGCAAGGACAATATATATATATATATATATATATATACACATATACACACATATATATATATATATAAAATCAAAATATAAATGAAAGTCAAAAGCACATTTTTAGTCATACCTGGAAACAAATCCTGTTCAAATAGGTTATATGGGCCATTCAACAGAATTGGTTCAAAGTTAGAGTTGGAAACATCTTAAAAAGAAAATTGTCTTTTTCCATAAATGTCTTAGTAGGCCAATACATTTTATCATACATATTTCAAAGTTAAGGATTCATTATTTTGATATAGCTTGCATTGGAACAAACACTATAACATCTTAGTTGATTAGTTTATTGACAAAACATACTATATATTTAACATATGAGCAGAAACTGCTAACAAAAGCTTATTTGATGTCTATTTTAGAGTTAAAACTTTATAATCTATCCAAAACTAGTCACACACACACACACACAGAAACATGATTCAAATTTAAACAAAGAATAAAACACTTACAGCTCAGCTCGATCCTCGAAATGAAAATAAACCAGCACTTGTTCTGAGGTAGGTAAATGTCCCAGGATTATTCCTCACAGCTGCGCAAGACCACAGTACATTAATCTGACTAAATATGTGTTTACCGAGTTTATGTGGGCGTTTACACGTCTCAATGTGTTGCTTCAGATCATTAGCGTTTGAATAGCGCGCGCTCTCCGTGGGCGTGTCACATTAGGAAAATAATGAGCTGAGAGAACGATAATGAGAACGGCTGACACCTCTCTCTTTTTATATAGATTACATAAACAGAGAATATTTATTTTAGTTTTAAATTAGATAATTTAAAAATACAAACTTAAATGATCATAAACATATATTGCTCATGTCTGGGTGTATAGTATTCGCTGAGTTTTGTTTAAGTTTAGAGACGTGCTCCAGAAAAAAAAGTTCACGGACACGGAGAGGCAGAACGCACACCCTGTTTATTTTCTTTATTTTACAGAAGCACAATATTTTATTTCGATTGTAGGTGGGCACATAAAAAAGTAGACATTTAACAGTTTATTTTTTCATATTTCTTAAAGTGTGTATGTCAGGTTAATTTTTTTTTTAGATATATTAAATAAGGGTTAGATGTCTGAGTGAAAATGTAATTATCATTAAAATTATTACTGTAATTGCCCTACAGTAAGCTGTATAGCCATTTCTGTCAAGATTATATTTTTAAAACACACCTGTGCTGTGACGTCAGAAGAGGGAGACGTGGCGAAAAAGTTCTATTCAAGTATGGAGAGTTTTGAGTCTAAGGAGATACAAAATCCCCCTCAAACCTACAATGGCCCACAGCCATACAATTTTGAGCCTCCCAGGCGTGAGACAGATGAGGAGCCAAACAGAAATTTAAATAATTCCTATCGAAGAAACATAAATATCTGGTGTGAAGAGAACCAGTGGAGAGTTGGTCAGGTGTCTTAGTAAGTATAGGCATAACTTAGAGGTGGAACGGTACATGTATTCGTATTGAACCGAAACGGTACGGGCGTCACGGTTCGGTGCATGAATATACACAGAGAATACGGTATAAAAATAAATAAAACTCGCGTGCAAATTAATTAATGCGGAACTACTGTTAGATACGCGGGTTATTTAGGGACACCTAATCTGTAGCTCCGCCTTAGCTCTGAAGCTCCGTGGCTATAATGAACAGGCTGCGATGTCAAGATTGCAATGCTGGAATATGTTGGTGTGTGTGTGTGTGTGTGTGAGTGTGAGTGTGAGTGTGAGAGAGAGAGAGAGAGAGAGAGAGAGAGAGAGAGAGAGAGAGAGAGAGAGAGAGAGAGAGAGAGAGAGAGAGAGAGAGAGAGAGAGAGAGAGAGAGAGAGAGAGAAGCGCGGGCGCAATCGAACAGTGGAAACATAAAAACTGGAAGAAATGTGCGCTGCAGCCTGCAAATGACCGAGGTCTTGGATACCGAAGCAGCACTGAAGTCAGCATGTTTGGTCCGAACAAAGTTGACCCAGGCACGGAACACAGTTTTAACAGTGTTTTTGCACCCAGCACAAACGCAGTAATTCACCATCGTGAAAATACGCCTGCGTATACCTAACTAACTACCTAACTTAAATAACTAAATAAATAAATGTCCTAATTACTAATTCTCTCGCTCTATCACTCGTACAATTATCAACACAGCTCACAAACTCACTTTCTCAGCGACTGGGGAGACGTATCCCTCTTATGACGTCAAGCGATTCGTTTGGGGGGAGGAGCAGTTTTAAGGGTGTACTCACACTAGGCACGGTTGCCACGAACCGGGCCCGAGTACGATTGTCCCCCCTCCCCACTCCCCCTCTGGCCTGCACTCACATAGGGTTTCAGCATTCGTGCCGGAGCACGCTTACGTCATTATGGTGCGTGCGACGGTTTCGGGATAAACCAGAAGAGCGGCGCTCTCTGAACACAATGTCCATCGCTCTGTTTTCTTTGTGGATAATTTTGTGTCGTTTGGTCCACGGTGGTCCACAGCCCTCTCACAGCCTGTTGTTAAACAGATGCGTCGCCTTAGTGGCGCGAAAATTTTCACGTAATCGTGCTGCTCGTATGAGGAGATTTGCAAGGTACCAGCTGAAGTGCAGCAAGGACTTTGCAGCTTTGATTACGGACTGTGTTGGTTTTGGAGCGTCGCAAAACCATGACGTCACGCGTCCTGTTCCGTGCTCCAGCACGGTTAGCGCTCACACTGCATGCGAACCGCGCCCGAGTCCAACTGAACCGTGCTCTGGCCCACCTCTTCCAAGCGGGCCAGGGTCGGCTAATCGAGCCGCGCCCGGGCACGGTTCGGAGCACTCACACTAGTCAAACGAACCGCGCTTTGGTGGTCAAACACACTCGGGCACGGTTCAAACTGGCTAGTGTGAGTACACCCTAAGTGAGTTCTGAAAATAACGAACTTTTTCATCTTATATTCTGCCTTTAGGTATCGAAAAACATACAAAACAATACATCAACTTGTCAAACGTGTACTTCCCCTAACTATTTTGTGTTAATCATAATTACAAATTTAACCTGACATACACACTTTAACTCTGTATGACCAGAAATGAGGGAGTAGTTTAAGTCTATTTTTCTGCTATGTGAAAAAAATCTGCCAAAACACGCCGGCGCGTTTGCCGTCCCCAGAGGGTTAAGCATTTCCCTCACAACATTGTGGTGGGCAAAATAAGTGGCTCTTTTAGAAAACTAATATGCATACTACCTTGTCTCATCATCATGAGTTGATGCTCATGTTTGGCAGCCTCCATTTCAGCCTCCAATTTCTCTTTTGCCTCCTGTATGTTCCGTTCCACTTGTTCCTTTTGCTGTTTCTCCATCTCATCCAGAGCCTTCCAGCGAGATGAGTACTCAAACTCAAAGGTGCCTGGCTGTGCAAAGCGTGGCTGATGCTCCCGTTCCCTGTATTGCAGATTCTTGTGGTTAATTTAAAACTTTTTTTCTTTAGATATACTATATGCATATGGAATACAATTAATCTCAATTACACTGAACAAAATTATAAATGCAACACTTTCGTTTTTGCCCCCATTTTTCATGAGCTGAACTCAAAAATCTAAGACTATTTCTATGCACACAAAAGGCCTATTTCTCTCAAATACTGTTCACAAATCTGTCTAAATCTGTGTTAGTGAGCACTTCTCCTTTGCCGAGACAATTTATCCACCTCACAGGTGTGGCATATCAAGATGCTGATTAGACAGCATGATTATTGCACAGGTGTGCCTTAGGCTGGCCACAATAAAAGGCCACTCTAAAATGTGCAGTTTTATCACACAGCACAATGCCACAGATGTCGCAAGTTTTGAGGGAGCATGCAATTGGCATGCTGACTGCAGGAATGTCCAGAGCTGTTGCCCGTGAATTGATTGTTCATTTCTCTACCATAAGCTGTCTCCAAAGGCGTTTCAGAGAATTTGGCAGTACATCCAACAGGCCTCACAACCGCAGACCACGTGTAACCACACCAGCCCAGGACCTCCACATCCAGCATCTTTATCTCCAAGATCGTCTGAGACCAGCCACCCGGACAGCTGCTGCAACAATCGGTTTGCATAACCGAACAATTTCTGCACGAACTGTCAGAAACCGTCTCAGGGAAGCTCATCTGCATGCTCGTCGTCCTCATCGGGGTCTCTAACTGACTGCAGTTCTTCGTCGTCGTAACAGACTTGAATGGGCAAATGCTCACATTCGATGGCATCTGGCACTTTGGAGAGGTGTTCTCTTCACGGATGAATCCCGGTTTTCACTGAACAGGGCAGATGGCAGACAGCGTGTATGGCGTCATGTGGGTGAGCGGTTTGCTGATGTCAACGTTGTGAATCGAGTGGCCCATGGTGGCGGTGGGGTTATAGTATGGGCAGGCGTATGTTATGGACAACGAACACAGGTGCATTTTATTGATGGCATTTTGAATGAACAGATATACTGTGACGAGATCCTGAGGCCCATTGTTGTGCCATTCATCCACGGCCATAACCTCATGTTGCAGCATGATAATGCACGGCCCCATGTTGCAAGGATCTGTACACAATGAAAACAAGCTGAAAACATCCCAGTTCTTGCATGGCCAGCATACTCACTGGACATGTCACCCATTGAGCATGTTTGGGATGCTCTGGATCGGCGTAGACGACAGCGTGTTCCAGTTCCTGCCAATACCCAGCAACTTCGCACAGCCATTGAAGAGGAGTGGACCAACATTCCACAGGCCACAATCAACAACCTGATCAACTCTATGCGAAGGAGATGTGTTGCACTGTGTGAGGCAAATGGTGGTCACACCAGATACTGACTGGTTTTCAATTTGTGAACAATATTTGAGAGAAATATGCCTTTTGTGTACATAGAAAAAGTCTTAGATCTTTGAGTTCAGCTCATGAAAAATGGGGGCAAAAACAAAAGTGTTGCGTTTATAATTTTGTTCAGTGTATCTAAATACATACTTGTGATACTGTGCTGATTTTTGCAACAGTTTTTCTGGTAGACCATCTTCATCATCAAACTGTTCTGTTGGCTCAAGAATGACTGGACGAGGGGACCTGAAGGACAAAAATGAAGAAGAATTCCATGTCAAAACTCTATTACTTGACTTAAAGGTCCCGTTCTTCATGTTTTTTTGAAGCCTTGATTGTGTTTACAATGTGCAATATAACATGTGTTCATGTTTCGTGTGTAAAAAAACACAGTATTTTTCACACAATTTACTTATCTGTATACCGCTGTTTTCACTGTCCAAAAAACGGCCCGATGACTTCCTTGTTCTATGAAGTCCCTCCTTCAGAAATACGTAACGAGTTCTGATTGTGCCAGCGGTTCCTGTGTTGTGATTCGACAGCAGCTTATCGCACGTTGCCCGGAAAGGTCACGCCTCTTACCATAAATTGGAGATGCATGCGCTGATTGTTATTGTAAAAATGTCAAACATATTACCTTATCAATTTGAGCCGGAATCAGACCCGGAGAACATAGATGAAGAGAATCGATTAGAACCTGTTCAAACACGACTTTTGCTGGATGTTTCACAGTGGTAAGCTGTTTATTTAGTAGTTGTCATACTTTTAATTGGTTAAATTGTAATGTTAAATGTTACAAACCGTTGTAAAAGCTTGTGGTATGTGGTTTTGTCCGTCTGTCGAATTAACGATGGTGTTGTTGAATTTTTAAAATAAGTCCATTGTTTATTCCTACCTTAGTTACACGTGTGCACAAGTTTTGATTAGTAATACATGTTTTATAGGTGTACATGGAGAGTACACATAAATACACTTTATTTTTACCATGAATATAAAAGCTGCCATGTTGTGTAAAAGAAATCGTTGCCATGCATTACAATAATTTATTTATTAAAAGTTGAATGTTACGTGACTGCACATTAAATTATTACTGCCTCACATCAGTGTATAGGTTTGTCGACGAATGATGCAGATTGCAGACCCTCCTCCATGTATGGTTCATCACCCGGGCTTTGAAGCAAACTGCTTAAACCCATATACCTTACAAAACATAAATAATATTTATCGAATAATATTTGCGAATCCGGCATTAAACTGATTGAGATTGAGGAAGCTGTCCTCGGCAAAATGTGCTGCACATAGTTTTAATTGTGGATTAAATTTTTCGGGAACCGAGTTAAACATAAATTGTAACCATTGATCTCTAAGCAAAGCGTCCCTGGGAAGGCCAAAGGTGAATTGAATCCAGCATGAAAATAACAGCGTCTCGACGACAAACAAACACACTCTACAAACAAAACTCTTCCTCTTCTCCGTGGGAGCGCAAGGTATTCCTGTGGGCGGAGATTAGTCAAAAAACTGTTCTAGTTACGTCATTAAAAAAGGAAGTAGAGGGATGTAGTCCAAACCGGCCGTTCGCTGTAGGCTTTGAAAGGGGACTTCTGTTAAATAAAATATCTCGCTACTAGGCATTGAACTTTGAGCTTTATAATTTTACAGGTATTATTTATGCTCTAACAGCAACATTACACACTAACTAAAGTTTGAAAAATGGAATCGCGAAGAACGGGACCTTTAACATATTTGATATCTACAGACAGGTCAATCACTGATAAACACAGATCACACTGTGAAAATGAAAAGTTATTACATTGTAAGCAAAAGGGCTCCATCTGCACAGCGGTCCAAGGCTTTTCGGGCAGCAGGCTTATTGGCAAACTCCACAATCCCCTTGCCTGTGGGTCGTCCTCGGTCATCAACCACCACGACTGCCCGCTCAACTGGGCCGAACTGTGAGAAGGACTGTTCAAGAAGCTCATTAGACACCACTGGTGAGAGGTTTCGTACTGTGAGTGCAGCCCCATGTGTGGCAAAACGAATCCGGATGGGCCTGTTCCCCAGCACCGTGCCGTCCAGCTCAGCCTTAGCAATCTCTGCAAGTGTCCTTGTCTCCTGAATAATCAAAACAGTGACAATTGAAAATATGGATGCTTAAATGCTACAAACAGAAGTGAGCACAATTAGCAAACTTCTTTATGGTTTTCATGGCAAGTGTCCAGTAATTAAAATCCAGTTCAGTCCAAAAATCTACAAACTTACAAAAATACAGATCAATCTTTCTTTGTTTACTTTTTATTTAGATATAATAACATAGCAACCCCAGTTATTTTGCTTCGGGTGGGAGATAGTATTCTCAAAACAAAATAAAATATTTAGATATTATAAATGGATTGACGAAAAAAAACAATCAAGTTTAATTATACCTATGGGTTGTATTTAATACTGATATATCAATTCTACATTATCAAATAATTACGGGGTTCAGGGTTTATTATATGAAAGCAGGGGCCTTCAAGCTCAAACCCACTGATCTAAATCAAACTACTTCTCCTAGAGGGTTTATTCGATTCACACCAAACTTTTTCAACATGATGCAAAGACATTGGAGATGGTAAATTGCAAATGGATATTGAATATCTCGAACGGTGTTGCCATGGCGAAGAATTAAAGTAATGACAAAAAAAGCAAAGGAAGAGTCTCATATCTTCTAAACAGTATAACCACTAGATGGCATAGGCCTGTTTTTAAACAGGGTTGAGCAAATCATTGTTGCTGTGCACAGGGTTTTCATAATTACTTTTATTAGGTATTGCATGTGGATGTAAATTTAGTAGTGCTGTCAATCGATTATATTTTTTATTTGGATTAATTACACTTTTGTTGTGCGATTAATTGTACTTATGAAATTAAGCATATGCCATTTATCTAGTTTAACACATTCATTTTGTCATCATTTGCTATATCCAACAAAGTAAATAATCAGATTGAAGGGCGATTCTCACAAAACTGCATTTTCTGCAAGCTTCAAGGACACTTGGAGACTCCAAAAGGACACCACAAAAGTCTATATAATCCTATTATATAATACATTTATGCACACCAATGCACCCATGAAAAAAAAAAGCATTACAGAATTTTTAGGGCCCAAGCCTTGAAAAGGCGAAGGCCCTATTGTTTTCCTAAGGATTATTTATTAGGGCCCAAGCCCTGAAAGGGCGCAGAGCCCTATTGTTCTTCTTAGGATTATTTGCTATTCTTCTTTATTATTATTTTTCTTTTAACATTTCGGGCACTTTTGGGGCCCTTAACGTGCTTGAAAACTCTTGAAACTTTGCACACGGGTCAGAACCCGCGGTCATCAGGGCCGGGCTGAAGCTGGTACCCGGGCGTGGCAGGGGGGCTCGACAGCGCCCCCTGGAATGGGGTTTGAACACTTGTCCATATATCAAACACGCTTGCATGTAATAATCTGAAACTCGGTACACTTATAGATCTCATCGGGCTGAACAACTTTCGCGCTCTAAGTTTTACGCCAGCCCAACAGGAAGTCGGCTATTTAGGGTTGTTTGGAAACGCATGCTCAGGAATTTGAAACACTTCTCCTAGGGAATTCCGCCGTTCGTCTCCAAACTCGGTGTGCATGAAGTCAAAACATTGAGGATGAAAAATTGCCAGGGGATTTTTGATATCTCGAACGGTTTGGCCGTGGCGAGGAAACGAATTTATGGCGAATAATGGAAACAGGAAGTGTGTTATAACTTCAGCATACAGTAACTGATCTTGATGAAACTTTAGCAGTGTGTTCGCTGAAAAAGGCCGATCACATGGATGTGACTATTGTGAGTCAAAGTTATAGCGCCACCAACTGGCAGCAGGAAGTGTGTCACTTTCAAAATGCTTTTAAATCACCCTCTTATTTTTACCCGATTTGCTTCAAACTTTATGTGTATAATGTAGACACACGCCAGATGTAGACCTGTGAAAGGATTATTGATATCTTAGATACTGTTGCCATGGCAACGCATCAAACTTTAATATTCTTTTTGGATGCTTTTGAGACTCTTAGCATGCCTGAAATTGCTTAAAATTGCATGAAACTCGACAGACAGATCACATTTATTAGCCAGTAGACATGTGCAAAGTTTCAGAAACGGGCGTGGTGCAGGGACTCAGTAGCGCCACCTTTTGACAAAAGTGGGGGGGTTAGTTTTATAGTTTTACCTACAATCATAAAACTCGGTACGCATATTGTTCAGATCAAGCCGGACAACTTTCTAATTAACTGTCATTAGCTCAGACCAAGAGGAAGTCAGATATTTTGGTTTCAATATGGTCATTTTCTCTCTCTCTCTCTCTGAGCCAATATGGCAAGCCGTTTTAACATTTAAACATTTTAACCTACTAGTCTCAATTTTCATGCTTCTAGTACTTATTTTTTAGATACTAGTATCTATTCCATTAAGTACTAGTACTTATTCATTAGCGACTAGTGCTTATTCTTTAGTACTAGTGCCTATTCTTTAGATATTAGTGCTTATTCTTTAGATATTCTTTTGAATACGTATTAGTTGCTAATGAATAAGTACTGGTATCTATTTAATAGGTACTAGTATCTAGTGACTTAGTACTAGTATTTATTGTATAAATACTAGTATCTATTAATAGGTACTAGTATCTAAAAGGTCATTTTCTCTCTCTCTCTCTCTCTGAGCCAATATGGCAAGCCGTTTTAACATTTAATCATTTTAACCTACTAGTCTCTATTTTCATGCTACTAGTACTTATTTTTTAGATACTAGTATCTATTCCATTAAGTACTAGTACTTATTTATTAGCGACTAGTGCTTATCCTGTTTAGAATATTCAAAGTGCTTATTCAATTTTTATGCTTATTTATATTTTCAGAGCAGAACATCCGTTTTTTCTGCTTATTCAATATTGCATCTAAAATGGAAGTGACTTGACGTGTGTGTGTGTGTGTGTGTGTGTGTGTGTGTGTGTGTGTGTGTGTGTGTGTGTGTGTGTGTGTGTGTGAGAGAGAGAGAGAGAGAGAGAGAGAGAGAGAGAGAGAGAGAGAGAGAGAGAGAGAGAGAGAGAGAGAGAGATTGTGTCTGTTACAGTGACAAGAGTTTAACCCTTTAAGGCCTTGTCTTTTTGGATATATATCTTTTTTTATTAAAAAAAATGTGCATACAACCCATATCTTTTAAATGTATTGTTTGCTTTAAATTAAATTAAGATTGTATGTTTGGTAATTGAACCTAAATAAATTTAAAATTAATGTGCTATATTTCAGATCAATATATTTGTTTTCCTTCATTTTAATCAACACAAACTTTATTCTCATCTGAATTATAAATAACTTATTTCTGTATAAAATAAAAAATCCCGAATAATCCAGACCAACCAGAGCGCACTATTTATACAACATCATCAGTGCTGAAACGGAACTACCAGAGCCGTTCGGCAGATAGCGAGCAGATATTTTGATATTTTGTGTCACGTTGTGCACAATAACCCTAAAGGCACCAGGGTGGCGGTGCCACCGGCTTAATATATATATATATATATATATATAAATATAGCTGCGAGCAGCGATGAAGGGCCAAAGCCGGCGGCACCGCCACCCCGGTGCCTTTAGGTAACTAAAGGCACCGGGGTTGCGGTGGCACCGGCTTGGGCCCGTAATCGCTGCTCGCAGCTATATTTATATATACACTCACCGGCCACTTTATTAGGTACACCTGTCCAACTGCTCGTTAACACTTAATTTCTAAGCAGCCAATCACATGGCGGCAACTCAGTGCATTTAGGCATGTAGACATGGTCAAGACAATCTCCTGCAGTTCAAACCGAGCATCAGTATGGGGAAGAAAGTTGATTTGAGTGACTTTGAACGTGGCATGATTGTTGGTGCCAGAAGGGCTGGTCTGAGTATTTCAGAAACTGCTAATCTACTGGGATTTTCACGCACAACCATCTCTAGGGTTTACAGAGAATGGTCCGAAAAAGAAAAAATATCCAGTGAGCGGCAGTTCTGTGGGCGGAAATGCCTTGTTGATGCCAGAGGTCAGAGGAGAATGGCCAGACTGGTTCGAGCTGATAGAAGGGCAACAGTGACTGAAATAACCACTCGTTACAACCGAGGTATGCAGCAAAGCATTTGTGAAGCCACAACACGCACAACCTTGAGGCGGATGGGCTACAACAGCAGAAGACTCCACCGGGTACCACTCATCTCCACTACAAATAGGAAAAAGAGGCTACAATTTGCAAGAGCTCACCAAAATTGAACAGTTGAAGACTGGAAAAATGTTGCCTGGTCTGATGAGTCTCGATTTCTGTTGAGACATTCAGATGTTAGAGTCAGAATTTGGCGTAAACAGAATGAGAACATGGAACCATCATGCCTTGTTACCACTGTGCAGGCTGGTGGTGGTGGTGTAATGGTGTGGGGGATGTTTTCCTGGCACACTTTAGGCCCCTTAGTGCCAATTGGGCATCGTTTAAATGCCACGGCCTACCTGAGCATTGTTTCTGACCATGTCCATCCCTTTATGGCCACCATGTACCCATCCTCTGATGGCTACTTCCACCATGTCACAAAGCTCTAATCATTTCAAATTGGTTTCTTGAACATGACAATGAGTTCACTGTACTAAAATGGCCTCCACAGTCACCAGATCTCAACCCAATAGAGCATCTTTGGGATGTGGTGGAACGGGAGATTCGCATCATGGATGTGCAGCCGACAAATCTGCGGCAACTGTGTGATGCCATCATGTCAATATGGACCAAACTCCCTGAGGAATGCTTCCAGCACCTTGTTGAATCTATGCCACGAAGAATTGAGGCAGTTCTGAAGGCAAAAGGGGGTCTGTCACAGAGCTACCCTCAGTTCTTTGTGACCCCTTGTTAGCCCTTCCACAAAACACATGAACACATACTTGGTTTTTAAAAGACTCTTTATTTACCTTAGTGTACCAGCGACATGAGAGATGGATTAACCACCCAAATATATCTACAACTATACTGTTGTGTCTCAGACTGGCCACCTGGGCACTAACCCAGAGGACATTTAAAGTTTGCTACAGACTGTTGATTGTCACCTG